AATAATCTGATGAACAGAATGAACTGGTGATTATAATAGAATCAGAGGCATAGAAAGGGAGTGGACTGACTATTCTTGGGGGGGAAAGCGGTGAGGGGGATGCGGGAAGAGACTGGACAAAAATCGTGCACCTATGGATGAGGGCAGTGGGTGGGGAGTGAGGGAGGAGGGTGGGGTGGGAACTGGGTGGAGGGGAGTTATGGGGGGAAAAAAGAGGAACTGTAATAATCTGAACAATGAAGATTAAAAAAAAAAAAGACAAAACGGACATCATCCAGAACCACAGGAAGGCTGTGCGAGTGGAAATTCTACAACTAGAAGGAAAGAGAAAAGCACACTGAGACTCAGAGGAGGTGTGGAAGTGAAGTGCAGAGGTACGGAGTCGCACACGGAAAGGGCTGGGAACTGAGGACACGGCTGTCTTTTTCAATCAGGAATGAGTCTCAAGCTCCCAACTGCTCTGAATGCCAGTTCCGGGCGAGTCTCTGGGGACCCAGACTCATACGGGGAGAAACTGGACTGTCTGGCAGTGGGCAGAACTCGAGGGCGGCTTTCTCTCAGAGGAGCCTGCAGCGATTATCGCAGAACAGTGAGACCCAGGTCCTCTTAGGGCAGGGCTGAGGATCAGCCATAGCTGTTTGCTCCGCCCTGTTGATTCCCTGAGACCCCGCCCCACCCAAGCTGTGCTGAGAGGCTTTTGCATATGAAAGCCCTGGCCCTTTGCAATCTAAAATTACCTAACAAACTGCAGCTGGGTCAGAGAGACCCAGAACATCCAAAAGAAGGCCCAAGGCCTCACAGCAGCTTGCATTGCTTCACAGCTGGGCCTCATTTAGGCACCTCCAAACTCCAAACCAGGGGTCCTCAAACTTTTTAAACAGGGGGCCAGTTCACTGTCCCTCAGACCGTTGGAGGGCTGGACTATAGTTTAAAAAAAACTATGAACAAATTCCTATGCACACTTCACATATCTTATTTTGAAGTAAAAAAACAAAATGGGAACAAATACAATATTTGTATTTGCACGTGGCCTGCAAGCCGTAGTTTGAGGACCCCTGCTCCAAACCAAGAAAAGGAATCTGAAGATCTCTCCATAGCTCCTGCTGGGTAGCCACAGGCAGAGGCTAAATTAGCACCTCCTAAGATCCAAGAGCCAGTGTACCCAGTGGTCAGAGTGGACCATCCAGATTATAACTCCTCAGATTCATAAGGGACACACTCAGAGGGAAGACTCAGTGAGCACCAAGCCCCACTGAAGCAAGTCTTGCCCCATAAGGGTGTCTCCAGCACAGAAGTTCTCCCACTGCAGACACAGCTGATTCTCACAGCCAATTGGCCTCGAGGTCAATTCCTCCCAGTGATACCTACAACAATCAAAGCTTAACTACAAGACTGTGCACAAAGCCCACAAAGGGGTGCACCAAGAGTGTCCACCTCAGGTAATTGGGGAGGCTGAGCCACTGGGCCCTATAGGACACCTAGCACACAAAGC